TCTGTTGCACGTCACCGCTGGCGCATGCTGCTCTCACGGCGTAGGCTTCTACACTTTGCGACGCCTCTTCCTTGGCACTCCGCGCTGGTTCTTATCGCGGCACTCTGCACAGAGCCAATGCGCTAAAACGTCCACATGGTAGCGACTTTCTGTTGGCCGCTCGACCGCACTGGTCGCATGGGGGATAGTTTCGCAGCGATTGGCACTCTGCGCAGATCCAAGTTGCCATAAATTTGACACGGTAGCGACTTTCACGTGGTCGTGGCCGACCACAAGTATCACACGGCGGATGGCTGCACTGCATACACAAAGTATCTGCTATAGCTTGGGACTCTAGCGACTGACCACACTGGGTGCATGGCTTCACTTTGCACTCTGGGCAATTCCAAGTTGGTAAAACTTGGACATGGTAGCGACTTTCACGTGGCCGTGGTCGACCACAGGTAGCACACGGCGGATAGCTGCATTGCATACACAAGGTGTCTGCCGTTGCCTGGGACTCTAGCGGGTTACCGCACTGGCTGCAAGGCTTCACTTTTTTTGCACTCTGCGCAAGTCCAAGTTGGTACATCTTTGACATGGTAGCCACTTTTTCGTGGTCGTGGCCGACCACACACTTTACAAGGGCTCTCCCGACCTTCGGTGTGCGCCATGCACACCCGGGCGGTCAGCCCCCTTCTTGCGAAGGATGCTGCCGGGACGCCCGAAGTCCCGGCCCCCCGTCCTGCGCGAGGGTGGGAGAGCGATGCTCCCCCACAACCTTTTAGCCGACACAGAGGTAGAGACAGAGACAACTACCGACAAATACCGCGACGGAGACAGGGACGAAGACCGAGGCAAACACTGAGGGGACAAGGAGAAACACAGAGAGAGAGAGAAGAGAAAGAGAAGGAGAAAGAGAATGACAGCAAGAGACACAGACAGAGGAAGAGAGAGACAGAGAGAGATACCAGGACGGAGACAGCGAAAAGAGAGAGAGAGGATGAAAAGGACCAAGACAAAGCGACAGAGAAAGAGAGAGAGTACTCAGCCCTGCACACCCTCATCGTCCGCGCGTTTAACACAAACCCTCACCCTGCTTGGCCGGCGCCCGGCTGTCAGGCGTAAGCCTCTTAAATAACTCCTTGTCTCTGGGCATTGGTAGGACAACCTGGGCTAAGAGTGACGCGACATCGCTCCAATATGGAGCGATGGTCGGCGTCCTGTCCATGTACATCGGCATTCCGTGGTCGCCAATCCGATAGGCCGTCGTTGTAGCATAGTAAATTGCACGCCCAGCGTGTAGCTTCCAACCGACGGCTGCATGCAACTTGCGTGATGTTTTGCCGTCTGCATTTGCTGAATAACTCCAGCCAAAGCAGCTTGAGATCACAAAAAGCAGCTTTGTCTGTCATACCAAATGACATCAAATTCAACTGTGAAACGAAAGTTCCATTGGTCCGACTAACTTAAGGTGCCTAGTGCCCACTGAATGGTCCAACCACTCACCCAACATGCATAGAGCGGCATGCCAGTGACGCATTGAAGCTCTGGTTGAACAAGGATTAGCTGCAGCTCGAAAGGACCTGCCAATTCCTGAGACACAAAGGTAGTACAACACCCAGGGTGTCCCATAAAGTTCTCCAAGCGACACTGACACTGAGAGACGAGAACCCCAGCAAAGTCTTTTGGCCTCAGCCGATGCCAAGTCTTTGGACAGCATCAATTTCTGGTCTACCAATCAACAAACAGTTTCAACACGCCTTTGATATCAAAAGGTAGGATAGGTTGGCTTTCTGCAGTTTGTGTGAAGGACCCATGGGATTCCAGCTCTCCAATATGCGCAATAGCCTCAGCCGGGTCACATGTAGTCCAAGCAACACAACATCAAGAAGCAGTGGCTGGAGACTGGAGAGATAGGAGCAAGGTGTGACACCACTGAAGATTACACTCGCAGTCGAGACACATACAAAAATACGTGCGATGTGCAGGAGCAAGAGATTTGTTTCCAGAGTCGGTGGTTCGTTTCAGTTGGAGGTCAGCATGACTTCCATGCTTCTCAGCGGCTCGGGAAAACTGCTGCCCACCGCAAAAGGGACCCGGAGCACAGCCTCACCAAGCATGTCTCAGCAGATTGATCTAAATGTCAAACGAGTGAAACTCGCCAATCAGAGCACGCGGGGCTTCTCGTATACAAGGGACATCAAAGGACTCATCGTGGCTTCTCACCCACCAATCGCTTGACACCAATGTGTCCTGCTCAAAAAACTTCTATAGGAACTGTACATTTTGAGTCCTCTTGCTCAAACTACCCAACCACAAAATCAAGACCCAGCATGCATTGAGTCTCACCTGTTTGCGGAAAAAGACGTTCTGAATGAATGGACCCTGGGCCGGCCTCGCTCCCCTCACAGCGCGTCACAGTCATCTGCTGCCGGAGGTCCTTAGGCCTTGGCTGCCCAAGCCATCCAACTTTGCGAGGAGAAAATAACAAGATGATTATTATAGTGATCTGAACTTGGGTGCGACATGCACAATATGTAGTATGTAGCCCACAAGAAGCCATCAATTGAAACCAAACTTACGTATAGTATCGAAACCTCATCACGTCACGTGAAGTGATGGCTGCACCACTCTCCTTGGCCTCCCTGCGCATTTCTCTGCAGCAAATCCTTGGTGATCATGACAGAAGAAAGCCCATGACAAAATGAAAATGGCTTCGAGTCATCAGTCTAGTTCTCCTAAACAAACTCGTCTGACACCTGGCTTTGGTACAAGTCAAGCTGTGCTGCCAAAACACCAGGGCCGTCTTGGCCACCTGTGAAGTACGCGTCACCTGCTGGGCGATAGTCCAAGCTGGATGCCAGATCGACTGACCACAATATAGTCAAAGAGCTCGAAGACTTGGTACACAAATGTAAACACAAAAGCCGCATCGGTTCTCCTACCAATCCATGTCACCACAAGGGCCCAAAGAGCTCAGTAGGTCCCGCACCTGGGTGGCACTCAGCGTGAGCGCATAGCCACTGCCCAGCCGGGCCTTGAGCCACTCGGGAGAGCCATAGCCTGGGCACTCGAGGGCGGAGGGACAGCAGGTCCCCTGGATCCTTAAATGGTCGATCTGAGCTGTTTTCCCACTGGGCAGGGAAAAGTCAACTTCTTGAAACAGGCTCAGTCATGTCGGGGCAGGATCACCTCTTCTTGCATGGGCTTTCCTTGCCTTCACAAATCCATGGTGATTCTGGTTCCTCTGTTTATCCTCTTCTCATTCTCCCTCCCAGAATCATCTGACCCACACAAATTCTGTTTACCCAAGGCCCCGACACTGAAGCACTCCCCGCGACAAGATGCAAACATGGTCACCGAGCATCTCCGCCTGGAGAATGAACAAGAAAATCATTTGAGAATGACCTTGTTTCATTCTCCAGTGATCTACAGCGACATCCGTCTTCACAAGGCCTTGGCCGTGCTTCTCTCCTAGTGGTCTCATGAAGTCCATGTGGCCCCGCCCAGCAATTTTGACCGAAGATCATGACACGCCTGTGAGCTAGACAGCAAACATATTGCTAGTTTACTATAATCGTATGTTAAGATGATGTCTGAAGCAGTTTGACTCTCCCTCCGCCTCATCCATGTAGTGGGTGCTGAGGCAAAGCCTCAGGTTGCCGAGTACTTAGATTGCAGTTCCAATCGTGCACTCTGGGAACACTTTCATAACTCATGGCAATGCTAATGCAGCAGTCTTAAATCTGCCAAAAAAAAAACGTCCAAAAAAAGTTGAAGACGGACCTGTAGTCCAAAGGGATCTACAAAAAATTCTATACATCGTCCCTGCCACTGACTCCTCCGATGCTAATCCGGGCTGAAAACAAACAACCCTCACACAAAATGGTTGCAATATAACTCAAACAAGATAGCTATGGTTAGGTATGGTTAGGTTGGTGCATTCGGGCACATCCCGACAATTACAAAAATATCTGCAGCAACGCGGCGCACGGCCCGGTCGGTACTTCTTTAAGAGCTCCCACATGCTCCTCCTGATGGCGCGATGAGTTCATCCCCAAATCAAGAACGTCTGAGATCTGTGTGGTTTTCTGTGTGTGCCCAGCCCAAAGAAGTTTGGTGGAAAAGTTTCCCACGTAGAGGTCGTCATTTCACTCACTTCCTCGCAGTAATTGATAGTATGACAACAAAACTTTTAGACTCCCTCTTCAATAGCCATCACCGACTGAGAGTCACTCTTCGGACATTATATGTGGCTTCAACATTCAAGCAACACACAAAAATGGTCTCTCGAATTTACTGAAACCGAAGCAGTAGATGGAATGATCACCTCTCACAAATGGAACCCAAATCCCCAAATCTGCCACGCTCCTCACATAAGGGTCCATGCCGGAGGTCGGCTCATCTAGCAAGATGAAGCGGGGCTCGCCTCCGCTGATGTGAAGGAATTCACACTGTGGTTTCAAAGGCAAAGTTGGCAAAGTACCAAAATCAACCAGCACGAAGAAACAGCTTTGCAAAGTTTTGCCAAATCAAAAATTGCATGTTCCTGTTCTACGTTCCGTGTGGGACGTGTGTAAGACCTGTGTTGGTCCTGTGGGGCATCCCCTCCACACACCACTGGTCTCCAATACAACGGTCTCTTGCCAGATTCTGAGAACAAAGCCGACAAAGGCCAGCGCAACACAAAGCGCGCGCCTAAGGAAAGGAGCAAGAGATGCTTCAACCACATAACTCGGCAACCAAGATCAACATCTACTTGAAACAAACCAATCTGAAGATGCCGTGGATGCTTTCCAACGAACCAAGCCCTACCCTTTTGGCCTCGAGCGATCCACATGACACCCAGGCGGGTCCTGCCTTCGTCCAGAGGAGAGCTGGCCAGCTGGCACGCCTGCCACTCAGATTTCAAAACACTCCATAGCCATACAAAAAGGGCCTGCCTTCATTCAAAGCTATGCCACTATGATCACACAGGCAAACTTCAAGTAAGCCTGAACAACAATGTGAATGTTTTTCTCGTGTTTTCACCTACGCACTCCCCGCCGGCATTTTGCCAGATCTGCAAAGTTGTCCTCTGAGCTCGCACGATCGTAGCACAATGTCGCACCAAACAAAAGTCGAGCCCTGAGGATGCTCGTGGCACCCGAGGCCAGGAGCACCCCACATCCTTCATGGTAACGAACCTCAACGACTAAAGAAATGACGTAACCAATCAGTGTTCTCCCCCGCTTCACGATGCTCCCCCAGATGCCCTCGCGCCGAACGTGCCATAGAGCTCGGCAGTGCAGTTATCCGAGTTATCCCTGTCTTTTCCAGGCCGGCCCCCACTCCCCGCAGCTTGCGCGTTGGCCTGATGTCTGCTTCCAACTTCTGGACTTTATCCTCTTTGGGGCTCCATAGGCTTGTCGACGTTCGACTTGTTCTGATCACTGGGCAGTCAGTCATTCTCTTCCGATGTTTCAAGCTGGAACAGCTCCAGTACATTCAGGACTTGTAAAGCAACAGTCGCCATTTTTGCCTGCAGCTTGTTGACTGGTCCGCATTGATGTCCAAGTTCTTTTGGCGCTGCCCAAATTTGGCTTCGGAAGATTGTTTGTGGTTCCTGAGCAAATACAATCCAAAACACTCTTCTGCAGAACCGGGCCAACCAGCTCGGAAGACTTGGCGCGACCAGCTGCGAAGCTTCTCAACGCCATCCTTCGCTGATGTCCCAGCCGTATGCACCGTGAGGTTTTTAAGCATCAAGCTCTTCTCGGTCAGCCTGCCTGGTTGGTAGCGTTTGAGAACTTCGGGCATGATGGCACCCGCCATGAGCTTCCGCGCTGCTATCCTCTCAGTCTTCAGCGTCGCAGGCTGTGAAGCCAACTCCAGCCTTGTGGCGTTTCGCAACCTGGTCATTCGATCTGAAGACAGCCAGGCCAGGCCTTGTAAGTCTGGCCCGCTTCCTCCAGTTCAGTCCACCACTTGGCTGCGCGTGCGCTGACATCAGAAATCAACAGTGCGGTCTCGGTGACCCAATCCCCACTTTCAAGGCAGCCTGAGGTCGCTGCTCCTTATCCGGCGCGCAGTCCCCCCGCTCTGAGGGCGCCAGGGCGTTTTTCACCGACCCGCTCACCCGCGGAGCATGCAAGAGGAAGTGGAAGTGTGCTCTGTTCTCCTTTCTTTTCCCCTACGCTTGGCCAGTCCTTCACATCAGGCCACCCAGCTTGATGTGAACTCTCCCCGGTTGGTCGAATTTGGCACTCGCCACCCATCTCACGAGCACACCAGCACCGGTTGCCTCTTGGCCTTGCCTCTTGGCCTTGCCTCTTGGCCACCGACCTTCTCCTCCGAGCCTTCCATCGTCTCCCCTGCCCCCCTCTGGTAATCCTCCTGGCCGCAGCTGCATCGGCGCAAGCTCCTCTCAAGCCATTTGGTTCCAAAAGGAATTCGGCTCGCCATCATCCATGGCTTTTGCGTCTCTGGGCAGCCTCTCCAACACAAGGTCTTACGGCCCACGCGGTAAATGGCTCACTGCGTTGGGCTCATGACTCATAACCTGCAGCAGCAAGGTGCGTTCTTAGCCATACAAAAAGGCTCTGCGGTCATTCAACGCTATCATCACACACAAGCAAACCTCAAGTAAGCCTCAGCCAAAATGTGAGTATCTTTCTTGTGTTTTCACCAATGCAAAACACTTCCACTCAACCTCTTTTGCTTTGTTGCGCATGCTGGTTCTAAACGAGCCACGAAGTGGACATTGACAAATTGTATGAAATTGTTGCAAACCTGCCCAGATTGAATGCGCAACCTTTGCTCAGGGACGGCTCAAACAGCGATTTCCCCCCCACTTCCAAGTCATCATGTTTTCAGTTTAGCCGTTTGGACATGAGGGAAGTCTTCTAGCTCACTGTGCCTGCCAAGTGTCCTGCGAGCCCTACAGCACGCAGTAGATCCTGCCCAACCAGAACGACTCAATTGCACAATTACCACACTGAAGGGCCTGGTGCTGCAAGTCTTTGCGATAATAGGTGTTCAAACCTTGTTTAGCCCAAAGTCTGCTGCTTCTTCAATACCTGTGGAAAACGGAAAGAAAGAGAGAGAGAGAGAGGGGAAAAAACGAAAAAGAAAAAACAGAGGAAGGGTGCTCTGCAGAGCAACATGAGCAAAGAAACTATTCTCCGGGCTCCGGAAACATCTAATGATCAAGGAAACGTCCACCCCACTAGGAGCAAGGACGCTACTAGGGGCTCCTGGCATCGCTACTAGGAGCAAGAGCGCTGCTAGGGGTGGCATCGCTACTAGGAGCAAGGACGCTACTAGGGGCTCCTGGCATCGCTAGTAGGAGCAAGGACTCTACTAGGGGCTCCTGAGCAAGGACACTACTAGGGGCTCGCATCGATACTAGTAGCCAGGACGCTACTAGGGGCTCCTGGCATCGCTACTAGGAGCAAGGACGCTGCTAGGAGCAAGGACGCTACTACTCCTGGCATCGACAGTAGGAGCAAGGACGCTACTAGGGGCTCGGATCGCTAATAGGAGCAAGGACGCTACTAGGGCCTCCTGGCATCGCTACTAGTAGCATAAGGACGCTACTAGGGGCTCCTGGCATCGCCAGTAGTAGCAAGGACGCTACTAGGGGCTCGCATCGCTACTAGTAGCAAGGACGCTACTAGGGGCTCCTGGCATCGCCAGTAGGAGCAAGG